CTGGCAATTTTGCAGGCTGGATTATTGGCTCTGCTGTCTACTTTGTGACAACCAGAAATACACTACTGCGAGGAGGAGCCTGCTTCTTCCCTTAACAATAGTTTCTTTCCTTTGTGTTCACAGCCCTGGAGGCAAATGCAGCCTGACTCCCTCTCCCCCTCCCTCCCCCTGGTTAAACAGCTGTGAATCTTGAGTGGCGCGCTCGTCCAGTAACTCTGATGCCAGAAACCTGGAGTCTGGTCCCCCTGGCTGATGCGGTTTTGTAAGATGGGGTGGACCACTTATTTTTTCTCCCCTTCCATGGTTACAGTTGATAATTGAAAAGTCAGCATGAACAAAATGCAGCAGGGCAGAGAAGGGGCCTGAGATTAGCTGACAGGAAACCCAGCTACAGTGGTTTGCAGAAGGACCTGAGCAAACTCAGTCCTCAAACAGTAGTTCAGATGCCATCTCTCCCAGGATCTGTCTCCTCTGCTCCAGCCCCTCCGCTGAGCTTCCATGACTTCTGTGCTTTACCTATGAGAACCCTTAGGCTGTGTTTTAGTCACCTGCTGGTTTGGATCTGTCCTTACCAAGCTGAGTTTCAAGAAGTCCAGCCTGTCCACGACTGCCTGGTACAGTGTCTGGCTCTTAGAACAGTGCTGAGTAAATCTTTATTGAAAGAGTAAGTTTCTCTTGAAATTATTGCCACAGAGGACTTAGAAAATTTAGGAGGATCATAGGTCATCAAATTAGAGAGTTTCCTCCATTCATTGCTTGAAGCCCTGACCCCCATAGCTCTCTAAGCAGGCAGTAGTGCAGCCTGCTTACACACTTCTAATGACAGGGAGTTCGCCTCCCTTCAAAACATCAGAAATGACTAAGGAAGAGGAGGAAAATAAAAGACAAATAGGGCAGGTCCTGAACTAAATTGGGAAGTAGTTAATCCAGCTTCCCTTTTTTCTGTAGGGCCTGGATCTCACTTGAGGGTCAATAACCCCACCAAGGTGGCCACTAATAGCAGTTAAAGGCTCTGCCTTTAATACCAGAGGACCGGTCCTTAAACTCTAAGTCCTTGAACTCTTTTTTTGTTTGTTTGTTTGTTAATCCTCACCCGAGGATATTCACTCATTGATTTCTTGATTGAGTGGAAGGGAGAGAGGGAGAGAGAAAAAAAAAGAGGGAGAGAGAGAGAAACATGGAACAACCCCAACTGAGATTGGGGATTGAACCTGCAACCCAGGTAACGTGACCTTGACTGGGAATCGAACCCGAGACCCTTTGATCCACGAGACAACACTCTTACCTCTGAGCCAAACCAGCCAGGGCTAAGTTCTTAAACTCTTAAGGGGAACACAGAATCTCTTGTGAAGCATCATTTTTATTTGAAGATGTGTGTGTGTGTGTGTGTGTGTGTGTGTGTGTGTGTATGAATGTTTTTGGTTCCGAAAGGGACTTGATTGGTAAAGAACAAAAAGTTACAGGTGTTTCATGTGACCTATTCGAGTTGTGAATTTGCTAAGACTACTTTTGTTCCTTATTTGCATTGTTTTACTTTGTAACTACATCTTCAATGAACAAAGAATTTTAAGGCCTGTTTGTGAATTGTATGTCAATCTTATTTAGCAGAAATGTGCTTACTTTCATTGCCTGCAGTTTAAAAAACTGAAGCAGTTCAGCTCCTTGTGTATGTTCTACTGTTTTCTTTCAGCCCTTACCTTGCTGAGCTCCATTTTAATATGTTGTGGTTCTGTTCCACTCTCAACTTGTTCTCACTCTCGGTAATCTTTAGTATTAAAAGATAAAATGTAACCATATTCCAAAGGTTCCAAGTTTGCATGTACTTCACTGAAAATGTAATTAAAGTAAATGTTAAACATATTGAAAAATTAAAATTATTTTTCCCATGTAGTCTCAAAAAGTTATTTTTATTCTAAAATATCCCAAAGTATCTATTAAAATTTAAGAGCAAAATAGAAATAATAGTGGATGAACATTAAAATTTAGACCAAAAAAAAATTCAAATAAAGCTGTCATTTAGTTTTTAAATTTAATTATACCCTTTAAAATAGTTTTATAAACATAAAATGGTTTGCAGTCCTTGCATTCAGTGTTCATTTATTGCTAATGCAAAAAAAAAAAAGTGACATTATGCTTCATGCTTCAAGCCTGTACATATCTAGACTATGTACAAAATGATTAAAAATAATATTGTTGAATATTGCAAAATGTCCTCTGACTGCCATGTATAACTATTGCAACTACTGCAGTACTCTGTGAATACTTGTAAGTCCACACACCGGAACTCAAAGAAAGAAGGAAAATAGATGCTCTGCACTCCTGGGAAATAATACTTTATTATGCAAGAATCTATAGCATTCATGACATCTGAGAGGAAGGATTTGACAAGTTAATTAATTTGTCTTTTCTCTTAGCTAAATGCTTCCACAGCTCAACTTCTCCTCACACTCCTAAGCAATGTCCTTGCATGAGATTGGCAGCAGGACAAGCAGAATTCTTTATCACATTAGGATAGAGTCACCTTTTGTTTGCAGGAACGGGGACAGGAGACGTGGAGAAGCATTTCTGTTGGCCTGAGTGATGTTAGTCACCAGTGTGGATGTCTAGGGTTGTGGCTGCTCTGTGTCATCCATGGGCACCTGACCCTGTAGATTCTTTAATTAACCTACCTTTTCATTGAGTTAAATGGAATACAACTCAGCAATAAAAAGTAACAGATTGCTGATATGTGCAACAACATGTATGTGAATCACAAGAGTTCACAAGAGCTCACAAGAGCATTATGCTAAGTGCAAGAAATCTGGCTCAAAAAGTTACATGTCGTTATGGTTCCATTTATGTGACATTCACTAACAGGGAGCACTATAGGGACAAAAATCAGATCAGTGGTTGCTGGGGGTGAGAGAAGGGAAATAACTATAGAGTAGCACAAGGGATCTTTTTGGAGTGATGGAAGTATTCTATATCTTGCTTGTGTTACTAGTTACACAGCTGTGGATGCATTTGTCAAAACTCATTTAACTTTGTACCTAAAAAGAATTAATTATAGCCCTGGCCAGTTTGGCTCAGTGATGGGAGTGTTGGCCTGCGGACCAGAGAGTCCCTGGTTCGGTTCCTGCTAGGGGCATGTACCAAAAAAAAAAAAATTAATTAATTATAGATTAAATTATAAATTATATTTTATATTACATATAATATACAATTAAAAGTTATATAATATAGCCCTACTGATGTGGCTTAGTGGATTGAGTGTCATCCCATGGACAGAGAGGTCTGGATCAATTCCCAGTCAGAACACATGCCCAGGTTTCGGGCTCGATCCCCAGTAGGGGTGTGCAGGAGGCAGTCGATCGATGTTTCTCTCTCACATTGATGTTTCACTCTCTTTCTTCCTTCCTCTCTCTCTAAAAAAATCAATAAAAACATATTAAAAAAAAACTATATAATATTTACTTTGTTATATAATTATAAATTATATGTAACTATAAATTATAACAGAATTATATGTATATTATAGTATCATAAATATTATATTATATAATAAATATAAAATTAATATAGTTATATCTTATATACTATAATTTATAATTATATAATGTATTATATGTTATAATATATAGATAGTATACTATATTGTATGCTACATATATATATAATATAAGGTCCACAAAGAAGGAAATAAAAAGCAATAAAAACTTAAAAGTAATTTAAATTTAAAAATCTAAAATTTAAGAACATTTTCTGGAAATAAAAAGAGATTTGACACCAGTACTTAGGAAAATCAATCCAGAGTAATCAATACCAATATATGTTCTAAAAAAACCATCTAGACTTTACAAAAGAAAGAAAAAATCATTTAGGCATCTAGTACAATATCAAGTCACCTAAACGGGAAAGGAAATAAGATTGCCTTTGGACTTGATTCCAGAAGTGGAGATAACATATTGGAAAGACAACACAAGCCAAGGATTTTAATCCTCACCCGAGGAGATATATATCTATATATATCTATATCTATATATATATAGATATATATCTATATCTATCTATCTATATATATATATATATTTTTTGGTACGTGCCTCTAGCGGGAACCGAACCCAGGACTCTCTGGTCCGCAGGTCGAAGCTCCAACCGCTGAGCCAAACCGGCCAGGGCAAGCCAAGGATTTTATATCTAGCCAATAATACCACAAATTATGAACATTAAAGAACCAAAGAATATTGCTCCCATGTGACCTTCCTGAGGAATTTACTAAAGAAAGGATTTTAGAAAACCAGAATGGAAAGATGATATTGGCGTAGGACTGATGGGGAGGATTAAATATACATTAACCCATAAAACTATGATGGTTATAAGAAGAGTAAATGTCCAGGAAAAGTAAATATTATACAGTAATTAAAAGGAAGAATGGTAAGAGAGATAAAAAATAAAATGTACTTGTTGATTGTTTATATTTACTGGTGGGGCAAAGGGTATTTATTCAAATGAGATTCAGGTGGAGAGGGAGGAGAAAGAAACAGTAATGAACTAATTTCAATATTGTTGGGGAACCAATAGAAAATAACAAATATAAGATGGGGGGGGGAGACTACGGTTATTAGTATATTAGCATTAGTATAAAAGTAACCACTGAAATAAAATCTTCCTAAATACCAAATGTATTTGAGAGAGCAATGAAATAGATAGATCACATAGTGAAAAACTAGTGCTACAAAAGACTTGCATATGTAGATCCTAAAACAACATGAGATGAAAGAAAGAAGGTACGAAGGAGTAGACATAGTCTACTACCATTTGGATAAGAAAAGAAGGCAAAATAAGAATATATGTGTACATGCATATATTTATATATTTGCTTATTTTTGCAAATAAGAAAGTATAAACCAGAAACTAACACAATTGGTTAGGTACAGGGATTGAAGAAACTTTCGTAAGTTACCTTTCCGTATTCTTTTGACTTTTAAACAGCAGTTTTACATTTTCAAAAAATTAAATTAGTGCTTGCTTCAGCAACACACAGACTAAAATTAGAATGATGTAGAGAAAATTAGCATGGCCCCTGTGAAGAGATGACACCCACATTTGTTAAGTGTCCCCAATTTTTGTGCTGGCTGTTAATTAAGCTGATTGCGGTAATGATTTCACATTATGTACATACATCAAATCATTATGCTGCACACCTTAAACATATACAATGTTATATGTCAACTATATCTCAATAAAACTGGAAAAAATAATGGTTAAAATCTTGCCAACACACACACGCACACACACACACACAAATCAACAAGAATGGGAAAAACTAACATTGACTATAAAGAGGAAGAAATGAACTTATTTCAAGATGTAAAGGTTTTTAAACAACAGACCTTTGCATTTAGGGAGCTATGTTCTAAGGATTAAAGAAAAAAAAAGGCTGCAAACAATCTTGAACTTTATTAGTAGGTTTGTGTTGGTAGTGGTATTGATGTAGTAATTCTGATGCTATTCGGTGTATTGTAAGGAGGAGCCAGTGAGTAAATATGTTGATGTTAGTGAAAACCAGAGTCCTCACTGTGGACGAAAGGAGATAAAAACGTGGACTGGGGAGAAAAGAGGAAGAACCCTGTGGTGTTGGATTGGAACTGGGGGATCAAAATAAAGTCATAATTTAAAATAAAACAGACTTCTTGCATCTGTTCACTGAAAAGGCTTAGAAGCAATGAGGGTCCAATAACAATGAACATGCCCACCTCCCAATTCTTGGTTTCTAAACACTAGTTACTACTAAAAGGAACCAAGGCTCTTTGGAGAAATCGCTGATTCCAGGTCTAGATCAAGGAAAGTACAAGATGAGCTTGGAATTTCCTCTGCGGGGGAGCAAAGAAGTGCCCCAAAACTGATGGGAATACAGACACAGAGACGAAGCGGAAGGGGCCAGATTGAAAATCATAAAGAAAATTGGTGGTAATGAATAATCTGAGTTCATAGTGATACTCAAGAAAATGTAAAAAGTGAGTGTGAAAAACGGGAAAGTTCTTTTTCGTATAAAAGCATAGTGCCAGATAATATAAAAGAAATGATAGAATTAGAAAAATTGAGATTTGTGCAATCACTAATAATAATAGTTGATTCAGGCAAGGTGTATTCATGGATACTAAAACACTGAATAAAAGTTGGGGAACAAGATATTCTCCTATTCTCAAAGTACACCCCCCAGATTACTTATTAATTATGAGCAGGAAAAATTCCTTTTTGATGGAGAGTTCATGCAGACAGAACCTCAGGCAGCCGACGAAACTTATCAAGACCAGTAACAGGACACAAGGGTATCATGTTCCTCTTGTGATCCACTCAGAAAGTCCCAACATCACCTCTGTAGAGTTTTTGCTAAAAATCTTTAACTAAATGTAATTCTGGAGGAAAAAACAGACCATCCAAATTGTGGGACGTCCTATAAAAGACCGGCCTGAAAGTCAATGAAAGGAAAGACCACCCTCCCCCCCAAAAAACACCCCAAAACACAAAATACCAAAACTGTTTTAGAATAAAGGAGGCTACAGAGATGTGACCATTCAAACAGCATGTGGTTCCTGGTGAATTCTGGGTACAAACAAAAATAAGACAAAACAACAACAACAACCACCAAAAATCTCCAAAGGACACTACTGGGAAAATTAAATAAATTTAATAAGATTTTTATACTAGATAATAATATAATGAAACATATTATAATGACAATTTGGTTCTATGGGAGAATGTTCTGCTCCTTTTTTTTTCTTTTAAAACATTTATTTATTTAGGTTAATTCACTTTTTTTTTTAATCAGTTTTTAAATTTTCCAGTTGTAGTTGACATACAATACTCTTAGTTTCAGGTGTACAACACAGTAATTAGATATTTATAAATCTTATGAAGTCATCACCCTGATATGTGTAGTACCCATCTGACACCATACATAATTATTACAGTATTATTAACTTTATATCACTGGGACTACTTTAATAACTAGCAATTTGTACTTCTGATCTCTTTCACTTGTTTATCCCACCCCTCCAATCCCTCTCCCATCTGGTGACCACCAATTTGTTCTCTGTATCTATGAGTAGAATGTCCTTGGTAAGAGATAAATGCCGAAGTACTTAGGGGTGGAGCCTCATAAAGTTTCTAATTTATTTTCAAATAATTCAGTCAAAAATACCCCCATATACATGGAAACATGTACAATGAACACGTAACTAAATGTTAAAAATTGGTGACTCTAGCTGAAGTGTACTTGAGTGTTCTTTGTATTATTTTCTCAACTTCTCTGTAGGTTTAAAATATTTGATGATAAAGGGTCAGGGGAGGAGTAAACACATGGGCTGCAGGTAGGTGTGTGACTCCAAGGCGATCAATCTGCCGGGTAGCCAAGCTAGTGACCTGGGACCTGAGTGACCTGGCCTGAAAAGATGAGCTGTACTATATCGGTCAGGATCCTTTTGGCTTCAAGTAACAGGATACCTGAGTCAAAGTAGCCTAAACTGTAAGGACACCTAATTATCTCATGTAACCAGAAGTCTGACGGGAAATGGTTCTAGGGTTGGTTAATGCATCGGCTCCAGAATGTCATAGCCTCTTCTGTCAGTTTCTCTGTTGGCTTTACTTCATGGTTGCAAAAGGGCTACCACGTACCATGTCCTCACATGACATATTCAAAGCAGGCAGGAGGGGACGGGCTCGCTCCTCCTCAGACTTTGCCCAATTGTATCAAGGATAAAACTCTTTCCCATAAGCCCCCCGCCCCCAGGGGATTCCTTTTACACCGCATTGCCCTTACAAACCAATTCTGGTTCCCCACCTGGGGCTGTTCACCTGAACAACACTGATTGCGACGGGATGGTTGTTGGTGGCAGCCAGCGGTGTTCACCACAGGAGCCAATGAGACTCACTAGCTCGGAAATCTGAGCCAAGAAACCTGGCCTGGGTTTGTTGTTAGCAGGCAAGCTGATGGTAAATGAGCAACAAGAAGTGGAGTTGAGGCCATGGCACACCAGCCAGGTGTGAGCCGAGGTTAAGAGCAGAAAAACTCTAGAGAGGGCGAGGAAGGCATTTGGTAGAGAAAGGAGAATGGTACGAACTGCCAAGGTGGGTGGAGCTGCCCGAGGGCTAGAAAAAACCCCACACAAAACAAACAAAAAAACCTGCCCTAGCACACACAAAAAAAGGAATTGGTTATAAATGTACAGGAATGCCTTAGACTACCCAAAGCAGGAAGGTAAAGTCCGTCCTTGGGAAGTATTAGAGCCAAAAAGTTTGAGAATTACGTGACTTGCTTCTGCCTCATCTGTGTTTCTCTGCAGTCTGTCTCGTTCTTTCCTCTGCAGTGGGTGTCACTGCCTCCTGGCCTCCTGGCCACCATACATCTGCCCACACCTTCTAAGTTCGCGTCCACATTCTGGCCCCACAGAGAACACATGTAGTCAGTCTTCCAGTCCTAGTTTCAGATTCCCAGAAGAAGAAAAAGTAAGAAAAATGAATACAACAGCAACAAGAAAAAACAAAAACAAAATCCCCAGAAGAAAGAAGCTGAGCTACCCAAGTTGGGTCAGATGCCCCGTCTACCAAGTCCGTAGGCTCCAGGTCACAACAGGCAAGCATGGGATGGGAAAAGGGCCATTGGCTCAAGTTTGGCAAGTGCCTCAAAATGTATCCACCACGATTGTTAAAATAGTGGTTTTCCAGATTGGGGATGAGGGCCCTGGCCGGGTAACCCCATTGGTTAGAGTGTCATCCTGATACGCCAAGGTTGTGGTTTGATCCCAGGTCAGGGCACATACAAGAAACAATCAATGAATGCACAAATAAGTGGAACAACAGATCCGTGTTTCTCTCTCTCTCTAAAATCAATTTAAAAAAAGATTAGGGGTGGGGAGGGTCAAATTCACATTTTAGACATTTAGCAATGTCTAAAACCATTTTGGGTTCCCACAACTTAGGGAAGGGGTGCTACCTGCATTAATGTTGCTAAACATCCTAGAATGCTCCCATGACCAAGAATTTTTTAGTACAAAATGTCAGTAGCACTGAGGCTGAGAAATCTTGTCTGCCTTTTGATTCTGGTAACTGTTCTTTCAATCAAAGGGACCCTCTCCACCCACAGAGCACAGACCCAGGCCTGGTAAGTCACGGGACTCAACCAATCTATTTGTTGGGCAGAGAATGAATGAAAACCTCCCTCTGTGAGTGTGGGGATGCGGATGGCACTGGGCTTGCCCGGGTTCCCTGTGCATTCTTGGGGGAGGAGCCCACAACGGCAGATGGTGTGGAAGTTCTGCCCTGGGTGGGGGAATTATTAAACAAAAAGAGAGGATGCAACAAGTGGGAACAGATACAAATAGAAGACGGAACTATTGACACACGCAACGTGTTCTTGCAAGTACTGAAAACACAAGCGGCTGCCCGGCCGGCGCCTGCTCTGCCGCACACCATAAGGGAGAGCTGCGAATCCTGAAGCCCAAGCAGCTGCCAGCTGTGATGGGGCTGTCTCTTTTCCTACACTAACTTGTCAGGCAGGAGGGTACAGGCTCCAGGCCATTGGGGTTCTTTTAGGCTTAGTCAACACCGCATCTGCTTTTATTTTCTAAGGAGCATCGTGAGCCTGAAATCTTTAAAAAATTTTGTTGTTTTTTAATGGAAAAAATCTGTAAATAGTACAGAGCCGAGAAGTCTTCAGGAACAAGGAGAGAAGGCGTTTGCAAGGCTGGCTGTTTCCCTGAAATTCCTGATAACCCTGAGCCTGCGGTTTGGCAAAGGGGAGTTGAGTTTTTTAGCAGAAATCCCAGGAGTTAGAAAACGCAGGATCTTTGCTGCCCTCTACTGATTATAATGAAGAATCGCAGGGGCTTGGAAAGAAGGGAAGAGATCTCAGTAGCTTTGCTCCTTCATTTACTGTTTTCATCACACATTTACTGAGCGTATCCTCTGTGCAGATGCTGTGCTCAGCATTAACGGCAGTGGTGAAAAATACAGACAAGGTCCCTATTGGCATGGGGCGTACATTCTAGCAGAGACACGCTTTGTGTAAGTCAACAAATGAGAAACACGAAAAGGTTGTTTAAAGTGTTCTGGAAAACAATGAACAGG